GGCCGGGCGGTGCCAGTCACCGGTGCGCTCCCGGTGAGACGGGAGGACATGCGGACGCCGAGGCTCTCGGTGCCGGCGCTCCTGTCCCCGGGCCGTCCTCAGCGTCCCCTCCGCGCACCTCCGGGTGCTGGTCAGGCGTCCATGAGGCCCGCATTGGCCCTGCTCCCCGTCACCTGCCCCCACGCAGCCTGCGCGGGGTGCCCCGGTCCGGGTCACAGGGGCCACAAGCAGGAAGTCAGCTTTCCATTTACCTTCTCAGCGGCCTCAGTGGGAATACATCCTCAGGTTGGAGGTGCACTGTGGGCCTCCGCCACAATCCGAACATGTCTGCACCCGAGCTCATGATGCTCTAGCTCTGCCTTCCCTCCTGGCTCCGGGCACTGAGGGCTCGCATCCTGCTACTGGAGGTTAGTTTGGATTTGTTTGTTTGTTGTTATTAAAGTTTTAGGTATACGGCATTATAATGTGACAACTGTACTCAGTACAAATGCTCACCCCCTGCGCCCCCACACCTCCCACCCCCCCAGCACCACTCAGTCTGTGTCCTCCTCCTCCCCCCGCTGCGCCCCCACACCTCCCACCCCCCAGCACCACTCAGTCTGTGTCCTCCTCCCCCCCCTGCACTCCCACACCTCCCACCCCCCCAGCACCACTCAGTCTGCGTCCTCCTCCCCCCCTGCGTCCCCACACCTCCCACTCCCCCCCCACCCCAGCACCACTCAGTCTGCATCCTCCTCCTCCCCCCCCTGTGCCCCCACACCTCCCACCCCAGCACCACTCAGTCTGTGTCCTCCTCCTCCTCCCCTCCCCCTGCGCCCCCACACCTCCCACCCCCACCCCAGCACCACTCAATCTGCGTCTCCTCCCCTCCCCCTGCGCCCCCACACCTCCCACTCCCTCCTCCCCCAGCACCACTCAGTCTGTGTCCTCCTCCTCCTCCCCCCCTGCGCCCCCACACCTCCCACCCCCCCAGCACCACTCAGTCTGTGTCCTCCTCCCCCCCCTGCACTCCCACACCTCCCACCCCCCCAGCACCACTCAGTCTGCGTCTTCCTCCTCCCCCACTGCGTCCCCACACCTCCCACCCCCACCCCAGAACCACTCAGTCTGCGTGCGCCTCCAGGACACACCGCCCCTCCACGCCCCAAGCACTCCCTGCCCAGCACCGGCCGTGCGGGCCCTTGGTGCTCCATGCTGTGGCCCTCCATGTGGCCCCTTTTAGCATGCAGGCATCCGGCTCCCTCCGGGCTGGGCGCTCTGGTGATTCGGCAAAGCGAGTGCCAGGCCTGGGTTCCTCCAGCTGCACTGGCATGAGGCGGGCGCTGAGCCCAGTGCGCCCATCACCCGAGGAGGCGCCTTCTGGGTGCAGGAGCCCGTGTTCTGGGGTCACTTCCGGGGCAGATGTTCTCGCTGGCTTCCTGGTTCTCCGAGGTTCATCTTTCATGGAGGGCGGGTCCGGTGTGTGCAGCCCGAGGCTGCTCTCCGTGCCAGTGAAGCTGGAGGCTGGGGACAGCGCCCCGCAGGCAGAGGGCCTAACTCCCCAAGTGCGGCGGCCAGCCACCCAGGATGCTCGCAGCCCTGACCTCTGACCTGAACCTTCCGCCTGGGGTCCAGGCCTGCCACCCTTCCTTCTTCCCTACAAAACAGCAAAAGACTTTCAATCACACGATGTCACTCATACATGGAACCTAACGGACAAAATAGATCCAGAGACATAGACGCGAGGAGCAGACTGGAATCTCAGAGGGAAGGTGGGAGTTGGTGGGAAGAGATCAACCATAAACGTGTGTGCGTATCTGTGTGCACACCACGGACACGCTCCAGGGCAGTGGCGTGTCTGTGTGCACCGCGGACACGCTCCAGGGCGGTGGCGTGTCTGTGCGCACACCGCGGACTCATACCAGGGCGGTGGCGTGTCTGTGTGCACACCGCAGACACGCTCCAGGGCGGTGGCGTGTCTGTGTGCACACCGCGGACACGCTCCAGGGTGGTGGCGTGTCTGTGCGCACACCTCGGACACGCACCAGGGTGGTGGCGTGTCTGTGCGCACACCTCGGACACGCACCAGGGTGGTGGCGTGTCTGTGTGCACACCGCGGACACGCACCAGGGCGGTGGCGTGTCTGCACACCGCGGACACGCACCAGGGCGGTGGCGTGTCTGTGCGCACACCGCGGACACGCTCCAGGGCGGTGGCGTGTCTGTGTGCGCACCGCGGACACGCTCCAGGGCGGTGGCGTGTCTGTGCGCACACCGCGGACACGCACCAGGGCGGTGAGGCAGGTTAGAGGAAGTCAGGGGGATGTAAATACTTTCAACAACGAAGATCAGTAGTTAATGAATTAAAGTAAAGACTCTGTCTCTGCGTGTGAGAACCTGACAATCCCTCACGTTCCCTTTCCCTGCGCCGTCAGAGCTGCCTCTGGGCTCAGAGCGGGTGGAGGACGGTCAGTCTCCTCACACTGCAGCCGTCGTGCTCCCGGTGACCCACGTGGCCCCTAGCTCCTCCCGTGGCCGCTGGGGGCCCCGGAGGGGATGGACATGGCTGGGGGGGGGGGGGGCAGAAGCTGTGCTTCAAAACCAACTCTACTTTTTCTTTAAAAACAGTTCCCTGACCGAGCCAGATTCCAGTTCTCTCTCACACCCCGCACTCCCCCCACTCAGGAAATGGCTGGCTTCCCAGTTCCCCAAAGCGGGCCCGACGGCCGATGGCTATTTACGCGGCCTTCTTCCTCTCCGTAACATTTTCCATCCACGGCCTCCATTCAGCCGAGCGGGCCTGAGCGTGAATGGATTACTCCCCGTGGAAACTATGCTGCCAGGAGGCCACAGGCAGGGCAGCTGGGAACACGCAGACTTTCCATCCCGCTCCCCTCCCGAGCGGGGCTGTGACTCAGGCCTGACGTCACCTCTTTCCAGAACCCTCACTGTCCCTGCGCTCAGCCTGCGGCCGGGGCTGCCCTCCGAGCGGGACCCGGGAGCCAGCTTCCCGGGCTGGGCTGGGCGTTATAAGGCGGCTCCCGACAAGCTGCCTCAGCACCTCGCGGCTCTCAGTGCGGCTCCCTCTCCCCGGAGGAAGCAGGATGCGTGTCAGAAACTGTAACTACAGCGTTAGCGTCTTGGTCGCCTGTGTGGCCAGCAGTGACGTCTTCAGCGACAGTGAAGCGAGGGTAAGGCTCTGGTCACCGGCGGTTTTAGTTTGCAAACATGACGTTAATCGGACTATTTTTCTTTCCTCCTTCTCTTAGCCGGGACTGTTAACCGGACTGTTTGGGGTGGGGGGTGTGGCTCTCCTTGGCTTTGGGGTTTTGAAACCCAAAATGCTTGGAGCCTAAAAAGCAAAAGTGCTCGCCCACGGCTGAGGACTTTCAAAGCTGGTGACGCCAGAGCCGGCCAGCGGGAGGCGCTGTGTCCCTCCGGCAGACTCCTTAGGGAGGTGGAGGGGGGGGGCACGTCGCTGGCGTCCGGAGAACGTGGTTTCAGCTTAGAGATAAAGGCCGTGAAGACGGTTGTGTGTCCGCAGCACTTCCCGGTGTCTCTGGCCGGGACGAGCGGTAACGCCGAGAGACACGCAGCGGGCACTGTCACGGCCGGGCCGGCGTCCTGGGAGGAGCGGTGCGGTCTGCAGCACCGTGTGTGCGGGAGGCGCTGTTACACAGAACACGTGTGCGCTGAGCCGAGGCCGCCTGCTGTCCGGGCCGGGCTGTGGACGGGGTTTGGGAGGCTGGCAGGGGCAGGGTCTCAGATGGCCACGCTCTCCGCGTCTGTCTGAGCCCTGACTGGGATTCTAAAAATACTCGCCGCTCCTCAGCGATGAATCATGCTCAGGCCTGACAGCCAGCCGCGGCCGCGGTGAGGGCAGGGACGCTCCGCCGCTCCGTCAGGCCCGTGGGGAGCCGCCCGCGGAGGGGGAGAGCCGGGCGGTGAGCTGCGGGCGGCTGCTCCCTCCCAGGTGCCAGGGAAGCACAGGGTCCATGGCCAAGGGGGAGCCAGGAGCTCCAGGGCGAAGCGTGTGCCGCCCTGAGCCCGGCCCCGAATGTTCCAGAAGATGCTTCTCTCTCGCGTTAGGCGTCCCCTCTCCTCCACAGAAGCAGGTGCCTCCCTCAGGTCTCAGGTGCCCGCGGGCAGCTCTGTCCTGCGTCTCCGTGCGGAGGGCACCGCTCTGGCACCTGCTCAGCCAAACTCTGCACGTCCTTCCCAGCTGCCTATCCCGCTCCCTCCCCGGCTGGAACCCTGAGGGGCCCCCCTAAGGACACCTCCACTGACACCCCCAGGGTCACCCCAGTGACTCCCCCACTGACACCCCCAGTGACTCCCCCCCTGACACCCCCAGTGACCCCCCTGACACCCCAGTGACCCCCCTGACACCCCCAGTGACTCCCCCCTGACACCCCAGTGACCCCCCTGACACCCCCAGTGACTCCCCCCCTGACACCCCAGTGACCCCCCTGACACCCCCAGCGGGAGGCGGGTCTCACAGCCCCTCGGGAGGCTGCTGGCTCTTGGCTGCGCCATGGTCTTCCCGGCTGTCACTGGAGGGGCGGGCGGGCGGACAGACGGACGGGGCTGTGCGTGCGGGGGCCCAGGACCGGGGGCCCAGGACCGGGGGTCGGAGCCGGCTGTTCAGGGAGCTCAGAAGCGATGGAGGGAGCAGACGGGGAGGGGGGAACCTCCTCCTTCACGCTAGGATGTGCCAGTCCACGAGTAGCCGCCCTGCGTCTCCGCCTGAGGGTGTGGGCACGGCCCAGTCCTGCGCCCCGGGCGGGGACGGGGCTCCCAGGGGCAGGCGCTGGGCTCGGGCCCTGCGGCCGGACACCCGCACCCTCAGCGTTCCCGTGAGCTGAGTGCGGTGACCGTCCCGCCGATGAGTGGGCTGCGCCCGCCACCCGCTTCTCCTCCTGGAGCGGCCCCGGGGCGCGGTCCGGGGGAGGCCGCCTCCTCCGCGGAACCGTCGGGAGCGGCTCCCGGGCCCGGGGCCGTGACCCGTGTCCCTGTCTCCAGGCCAAGTTCGAGGCCCTGTTCCGGGCCTTCGACCAGGACGTGAGCTTCCAGTACTTCCGCAGCTTCCGGCGCGCCCGCGTCACCTTCGGCAGCGCCCTGGCCGCGGCCGCCGCCCGCCTGCGCCTGCACCGCACGCCCTTCCTGGGCCGCGAGATGAAGCTCTACTTCGCGCAGGTGCACCCACTGTCCTCCCCACCCCCCCTCAGTGCACCCACTGTCCTCCCCACCCCCCCTCAGTGCACCCACTGTCCTCCCCACCCCCCCTCAGTGCACCCACTGTCCTCCCCACCCCCAACCCTCACTGCACCCCACTGTCCTCCCCAACCCCCCTCAGTGCACCCTCTGTCCTCCCCACCCCCACCCCTCAGTGCACCCCACTGTCCTCCCCACCCCCACCCCCCAGTGCACCCCACTGTCCTCCCCACCCCCCCTCAGTGCACCCACTGTCCTCCCCACCCCCCCTCAGTGCACCCACTGTCCTCCCCACCCCCCCCAGTGCACCCACTGTCCTCCCCACCCCCACCCCTCAGTGCACCCACTGTCCTCCCCACCCCCACCCCTCAGTGCACCCACTGTCCTCCCCACCCCCACCCCTCAGTGCACCCACTGTCCTCCCCACCCCCACCCCTCAGTGCACCCCACTGTCCTCCCCACCCCCACCCCCCAGTGCACCCCACTGTCCTCCCCACCTCCCCTCAGTGCACCCACTGTCCTCCCCACCCCCCCTCAGTGCACCCACTGTCCTCCCCACCCCCCCCAGTGCACCCCACTGTCCTCCCCACACCCCCCAGTGCACCCACTGTCCTCCCCACCCCCCCCCAGTGCACCCACTGTCCTCCCCACCCCCCCTCAGTGCACCCACTGTCCTCCCCACCCCCCCTCAGTGCACCCACTGTCCTCCCCACCCCCCCCAGTGCACCCACTGTCCTCCCCACCCCCCCTCAGTGCACCCACTGTCCTCCCCACCCCCCCTCAGTGCACCCACTGTCCTCCCCACCCCCCCTCAGTGCACCCACTGTCCTCCCCACCCCCCCAGTGCACCCCACTGTCCTCCCCCCCCCCAGTGCACCCCCACTGTCCTCCCCACCCCCCCTCAGTGCACCCCCTCTGTCCTCCCCACCCCCCCTCAGTGCACCCACTGTCCTCCCCACCCCCCCTCAGTCACCCCACTGTCCTCCCCACCCCCCCTCAGTCACCCCACTGTCCTCCCCACCCCCCCTCAGTCACCCCACTGTCCTCCCCACCCCCCCTCAGTGCACCCCACTGTCCTCCCCACCCCCCCTCAGTGCACCCCACTGTCCTCCCCACCCCCCCTCAGTGCACCCCACTGTCCTCCCCACCCCCCCTCAGTGCACCCCACTGTCCTCCCCACCCCCACTCCTCAGTCACCCCACTGTCCTCCCCACCCCCCCTCAGTCACCCCACTGTCCTCCCCACCCCCCCTCAGTGCACCCCACTGTCCTCCCCACCCCCCCTCAGTGCACCCCACTGTCCTCCCCACCCCCCCTCAGTGCACCCCACTGTCCTCCCCACCCCCCCTCAGTGCACCCCACTGTCCTCCCCACCCCCCCTCAGTGCACCCCACTGTCCTCCCCACCCCCCCTCAGTGCACTCCACTGTCCTCCTCACCCCCCCTCAGTCACCCCACTGTCCTCCCCACCCCCCCTCAGTCACCCCACTGTCCTCCCCACCCCCCCTCAGTCACCCCACTGTCCTCCCCACCCCCCCCTCAGTGCACCCCACTGTCCTCCTCACCCCCCCTCAGTCACCCCACTGTCCTCCCCACCCCCCCTCAGTCACCCCACTGTCCTCCCCACCCCCCTCAGTCACCCCCCTGTCCTCCCCACCCCCCCTCAGTGCACCCCACTGTCCTCCCCACCCCCCCCTCAGTGCACCCCACTGTCCTCCCCACCCCACCCCGTGATCACGGCCTCACCCATCCCCACCCCAGGCAAACAGCCTCCAGACTGCCGGGCCCTCTTCTCACACCCGGGCTTCCCTGGGCGGTGGCCGCGCGGCCTCGGAGGGTGCTGATGGGGAAGGGGGCGGCCTGCACTGGGGGCGGCCCCAGGCCCCCCAGCCTCGGGCAGCAGGTTTCTGAGCGTCTGAGGGGTGCTGCCCGCCACAGGGCTCCGGGCTCTCGGCAGCCGCCCCCCTGGCTGGCACCTCGTGTGGCCGGGATTGCTGGCCTCCTGCCCACCTCCTCCCGGTGCCGGGCTCCATGGAGTGACCACCTTCCCGGCCGCTCGGGGAGAGGGCTTCTGGGCGCACTCCCCGTTACAGGAGCCCCTTGGCGGGGGCGGGTGTGGGGGACGGGTGGGCGCTGTCCCCCAGGCAGGGAGCAGCCCCTCGGAAGCTTCCTGGGCAGAAAAGGCCAATCCCGGGCTTTAGAGCGGGCGCTGCCCGGCCCCCTGGCGGTGAGGGGCGCAGGCTGGCTGAGGGTGCTGGCTGGGAGCGCTCCTGGCTGCGGGTGGGGTCCTGTAAATATCGCCCAGTCCCTCCCGGCCCTGGCTACTCAGGCAGAGGCACGCAGGCTGTGGGGGGAGGGGCAGCCCAGACGGGAAGATTTGCTGCTCAGCCCTCGAAGGGCTTCTAAGCTCAGGAGGACCAGAGGGTGTGGGGAGCCTGGTCCCCGGCCCCGGGTCCCGGAGAGTGACGTCATCGGGGAGTGTGCTGGCCTCCTGGGCTGGGCCTGGGTGTGCGGAGCGGGCCGGGACCCGTTTATACACAAAGCAACTGTCCATTCCCCCTTCGGCTCTGTCCCTCTGGCTCTGTCCATCCGTCCCTGTCCGTCCCCCCTCCGTCCCTGTCCATCCCCCCTCCGTCCCTGTCCGTCCCCCCTCCGGCTCTGGGCCTGAGTGCTGTGCCCCGTTCGGAGGCTCCCCGAACCCGAACCAGACTCCCTCTGGCGCTTTCCACGTGGCCGCCGGCCTGCCCTCACAGTGCGCCCGCCTGCCCTTCTCTGCAGACGCTGCACATCGGGAGCCCCCACCTGGCCCCCCCGAGCCCCGACAAGCAGTTCCTGATCTCCCCGCCCGCCTCGCCGCCTGTCGGCTGGAAGCAAGTGGAGGACGCCACCCCCGTCATAAATTACGACCTCCTGTACGCCATCTCCAAGCTGGGCCCAGGTGAGCGGGGCCCCGGGGGGATGGAGGGCAGGTGGGCGGGGCCCGGGGGGAGGAGAGGGCAGGTGAGCTGGGCCCCGGGGGGAGGGGAGGGACAGGTGAGTGGGGCCCAGGGGATGGAGGACAGGTGAGCAGGGTCCAGTGGATGGAGGGCAGGTGAATGGGCCCCGGGGGATGGAGGGCAGGTGAGCGGGGTCCTGGGGGTGGGCAGGTGAGCGAGCCCCGGGAGAGGGGGGGCAGGTGAGCGGCCGGGGCGGGGCAGCAGTGAGGAAAGAGTGCTGAGGGCCCAGACGCAGATAATTGGGGTTGGGAGGCGTGGCCTCTCCCCTGTTCCTCCCCCCTCCCCTCCCCCCGTGCCTGGCGCAGGAGGACCCCGTGTGGGCCTCAGCCTCAGTGGAACCGTGGGGGCGGCGTGTGCCCCTGGCTCGCTCCGTAGGGAGGACCACAGGGTGGAGTTGGCTGTGGGGACCGAATGCCGGGCCCTCCTGACCACCACCCGTGACCCCCTCCCACCGCTGACCCCGCCGGTGTGGGCGCCAGACCCCGCCTACCGCTCCGTGTGGACGTGAGCGTGGACCGTGGGAGGAAACCAGCCCTCCCCCGGAAGTGCTCCCGTGGGGGTCCTCTGGCCTCTGCCTGCCTCGGCTCCCTGCCCGCACCCCTCCTGCCGGCGCTCCCTGTGGGGCAGCCAGAGGAAGTGGGCTCCGTGCCCACCCCCTCACCCCCATGGGGCCTGGGCAGCCCCCTGCCCGGCCACACCCCGGCACAGTAACATGTGGGGCGCCTGGCCGTGGGGTAGAGGCCGGAGGAGGCCGCTGGGTCTCGGGGTGCAGAGGGTGGCCCGCCTGGTCCCTGTAGCAGAGAAGGTGCTGAGCCACGGCCCCTCGTTTCTCCTTGAGCCGCAGTCAGATGTCTCTGTCGAGGTGTGGGTTTCTCGCCATCAGCAGTTTCTTAGGGAAAGGTTACGTTTCTGAAACAGCGGGACATCCCGTGCGGGGAGCGGGGATCGGTTACCTGCTGCCCGCGGCCCGTGAAGGTCGAGGCGGGCAGCCGGGCGGAGGCGTGTGCTCCCCCAGCTCCTGCCGAGGCTACAGGCTGAGGGCTGAGCCCCCCGGGCAGAGCAGGGGAGAGGGTCCCCCTGGGCAGAGCAGGGGACGGGGTCTCCCGGGCAGAGCAGGGGGACGGGCCCCTGTGGGGAGAGGGACCTGCTGAGGGAGACCCCTCTGGCTGCACCTCCCCCCGCGGAGGCTGAGGGAGAAGCGCTGGGAGACAGACTTTGTGAAGCCAGTCAGCGTGCTGGGGCTTCTGGGGACTGTGCTATGCAGCCACGGGAGGCAGAGGTGTTGCAAACGTCCTCCCGCCCCTGCACCTCTGGGGGGCCTGGCCGGCGGGCTGGGGAATTGTTAACAGCATCGTGGCCAAGGTGGCCCGTGACCTCTGACCCTCCGGCAGCTGTCCCTTGTGCCTCCTGGACAATGGCCATGCCCGGGCCCAGCGTGCGGCCGAGCAGAGGCACCTCCCGCCTCCTGGGGGTGCAGGGCCGCCGAGCTGACACAGGCCCAGCGCGGGCGGTGGGCTGCTCACAGCTCCTCCTTCGGGAAGGCCCCCGTCCCCTCCCCCTGCGCTGGCCCTGCCCAGTGACCGTGCCCTCTCCCCCCAGGGGACAAGTACGAGCTGCACGCGGCCACCGACAGCACGCCCAGCGTCGTGGTGCACGTGTGCGAGAGCGAGGAGGACGCGGAGGAGGACGAGACGGAGCGGATGAGGAGGCCCAAACCCAAAATCGTGCAGACCCGGCGGCCGGAGTACAGGCCCGTGCACCTCCGCTGAGCGCTGCCGGCCGTCTCCCGGGGATCGCTGAGGCGGCCGCTGCGGGCCGTCGCTCTCGTCCGCGGAGGACGGCGTGGCCGGTCCTCTCCGCACCGCGCGGCCGGTCACAGCGGGGTCCCGCACACGGACCTCGTCCCACCTTTCCCGGCGGCCTGGTCCGCCAGGGCAGGCGGATCCCTGGCCGGGCGTTCCCAGCAGCCCGCGGGGCCGGCCCTCTCAGGGGCAGTGCCCGCGCCCACGAAGCCTGAGACTGAGCTGGGGGGCGCCCTGCAGTGTGGACGGCGCGGTGCCCCCTCCTCCCTCCCTCCCGCCGAGGGCCCTGCATGTCCGCTCCGGCCTCCCCCCAGGCCTGCGCGTCGCTCCGCCTGCTCTGCACGTGGAAGGTCCGAGAGCCAGCGGCGGGGCTGCCACCTCCCAGCTCCGGCGCCTGAGAGCGCCCACGCGGCTTCCTCCTGGATCCGAGGCCCGGCGTCCTGCCGGCGCCCGCGGCCGTGTCTCCCGCCGGCCCATCTGCAGTCCAGCGGCCCCCGGTCAGACAGCAGGCTCCCTGAGCCTCCGGGGTGCGGCGTCCGGGGTTGGCATCCGTCCGTCTCTTCCACGCGGTGGTTTACTCCGATTCCTGGGAGCGGGGGGTGAGGTTGCTGGGTGTCTGCCCCACGGAACATGGAGTGAGCGTGTAAATAAAGCCGGCAGCACATGTCACACGCTGTGCGCGTGGTGGACGCGGCGGGGCGCCTCGCTGGGCGGTGTGGCCTAGCTGGGCGGGGCGGGGCACCGGTGTGAGGTGGACAGTGGGCCCGGCGACGTGAGCGGGACAGTGCCCTCCCCCTTCGCTCACGCGGTTCCCTGGGACCCCTCGTGGAGGCTGTCCTCCGGGGAAGCCGTTCTATTCTGGCCTCAAAGTACCGTGACACCCGCTGCAGAGGAACGCACAGCGCCGGGCCCTGCTCGGCTCTCGGGGAGCGGGCACAGCTGGTGTCCGGTCAGAAGCGGAGGGATAGTCTCAGAACCCCGTTCGCCATGCTCGGCGGGCCCGTGCGGAGCGCCCACTGGCATCGGGGTTCAGGGGGTGCTTGTCCCTGAGAGGGGGCCTCGGAGGGTCTGTCTTACCTGCATCTGCAGTGACCGCACACGTGCGCCCGTGGAGAGCCGCCTGCCTGCCCTGTCCTCTCTGACCTCGGTCTGCAGACCCTCTGAGTCCATCCAGTCTCGATGCAGGGAAGCAGGCAGAGCCGACGGGCACCACAGCACATCACTCCATCTCCCTCACAGACCGTGTCCCGTGGTTGTCCTGTGGTAGGTGTGTGGCCGTGGCCACTGAAATCCCACCCCCTGGGGCACCGAGGCTGCGGGTCACCAGGCTGATGGGCGTGAGGCCTGGAGTCGTGAGCGGGCCCAGGTGGCCCGGGGGTCTCCGTCCCCGCCGCTGAGGCGCTCAGCAAATGCAAAGCTGACAGCCACGCCCCGTGGCCTGCGTGCCCCTCAGCAGATCGTCACAGAATATGTTTCACGCGGTGGTTCGTTCCGGTTCCTGGGAACAGCGGGGGGAGGTCTCTGGGGTTCTGCCTCAAGAAACAGAGGTGACGTGTGAATAAACCGCAGCACATGTCACTCTGCTCTCACAGCTCCGTGGCTCAGAACCACCAGCCCCCTCTGGCTGACCTTCACGTCCTGGTGATGTGTGATGTTCAGTGTTCCCAGCTCACCAACATCTCTTCCCTCGGTGCGCTGGCCCAGGGTCTCTCTGCCCAGAATGTCGCCCACTGCCCAGCCCAGCCCGGGTGAACGCCATGTCAGTCCTGCTCTCCCAGACCCCCCCCCCCCCGGAAGTTCTCAGTGAATACAGCTGAGGTGGCTCACAGGCCTGCTGACATCCCTCTACAAGCCCCGCACTGAACCTCTCCCCTTGAGAAGGATCCCAGCTGCTGCTCCTGCACCTCCCCTGTACCCCTGTCTCCCCATTGTGATGGGTCTGGTCTTTTTATTATAATTTTTAAATTGTTTGTCTTCCTTGTAAGAATATAAGTCAAGTGGAGGCAGGATTCCTGGTAGCTCACAGTAGACATTCAACAGTTATTGGATGGATGGGTGGGTGGATGGATGGATGGATGGCTAGTGGGTGGGTGAGTAAGTAGATAGATGATAGATGGGTGGGTGGATGGGTGGGTGAGTGAATGGATGAAAAAAATCCCATCCAACTGCACACCTTAAAGGGTAGCGTTTTGTTACAGGTAAGTATGCTTTAATAAAGTTGACTTAGTGATTTTTTATTGAATGCATTGGGGTGACGCTGGTTTTAATAAAGTTACGTAGGTTTCAGGGGTACAGTTCTACCATCCATCACCGGCATGTTGTGTGTTCACCAGCCCAAGTCCATCCCCTTTCATCACCACTTATTCCTTTATCCTCTTCCACCTTCCCCCGCTCCCCTCGATGTTTTAAAAATCAGGATAAAAGGAAAAAACTTCAAATCTCTGGACAACAGACAGAAGCTGGGGGAAGGTCTTAGCTCTGGCCACACACGGGGAAGGTTTCCGTGTCTGACACTGTACAGAGCCGTAAGCCAGGGCGGACAGCCCAGTCATCGGGAGACTCCAACGAAGCCTTCCTAGAAGAATCCATGTGTCCGCGTCACTTTAAAAATCAACATGGGCCTAACCGGTTTGGCTCAGTGGATAGAGCGTCAGCTTGGGGACTGAAGGGTCCCGGGTTCGATTCCGGTCAAGGGCATGTACCTTGGTTGCGGGCATATCCCCAGTAGGGGGTGTGCAGGAGGCAGCTGATTGATGACTCTCTCTCATCGATGTTTCTAACTCTGTATCTCTCTCCCTTCCTCTCTGTATAAAATCAATAATAAAATATATTTTTAATAAAAATAAAAAAAATAAAAATCAACGTGGGTCACATTTTTTTCTTTCTTTTTAAAAAAATATATTTTATTGATTTTTTACAGAGAGGAAGGGAGAGAGGGACAGAGAGCTAGAAACATCGATGACAGAGTAACATCGACCAGCTGCCTCCTGCACACCCCCTACCGGGGATGTGCCCGCAACCAAGGTACATGCCCTTGACTGGAATTGGAACCCGGGACCTTACAGTCCGCAGATCAACGCTCTACCACTGAGCCAAACAGGCTTCGGGGGGTCACATTTCTTTAAAGTTCAATATAGGACTACATTTTAGTCTACCTCCAGAACAACATACATGTGGGTAAGGGAATGGATGTTGGCACCGCTGTCCGTGACCGCCCACTGGCCTGTGGTCTCGAGCAGCGGGACTCCAGGCCAGGAGCACACCTCTCAGCGAGGCCTTTGAAAGGAACGAACGCTGGAGAAGAAGCACAAAAAAAGACCCACTTCTTGCGAGGTCTGTTTTATTGCTGAAGCTTCAAAAGCCTTTTTCCTGCCAATCGTACAAAAGACACGGCATTCTCTTCCTTACAGAAGTATTATACATTCTAAAGCCACGCAGGATCATTGCGGCCGTTCTAAAGAGCGGCTCCAGTCCCAGCACATGGGTGTGCCTTCCCCAACCTAATGGTTTCCACCTGGCCTTGTGGCCTCAGCTGCCACTCATCTGAGTTGTGTGAGTCCAGGGTTTCTGTAAGGTAAAAACTGCCAGTTTCGGTTTCAGATCCCTGGGGCAGGTTGTGAGACCTGAAGGACGGTGTCCCTGTGAGCGGGCGTGGAGAAGCTTCTTAAACTCTCTCACAGTGAACAGCCCGGAATGGCGGGCCCGGCACACGTTCTCATCTTAGGACATCGCTACCCGAGTGGGATGCTGCCATGGAAACAGCGGGGCGGGGAGTGCCCACAGCTGCCCTGCGGGAGGTCCGGCCTCACCTGCAGGCCAGGGGAGCTGACGGATGGGCCACCAGACAGACAAGCACCCTGAGGTCCTGCAGGAGGCACAGTGGGCCTGGCCTGGGGGGCAGAGACGAGAATGTCCCGCCGGGTTCGGAGACACCTCGAGGCTGCAGGTGCCTGGGGGGCGTTGGGGGACCAGAAGGAGTAGAGAAGGGGTCGTCCCGGGCCCTCCCTCTCGCCGCCAGACACTGCCCACCTCCCCGCTGCATCCTAGCCCCCACCCCAGGGCGCAAGCAGGGGGCGTGCACCTCTGCCCCCAGGTCCCCCCCTGCAGTGACGCCCACCTCCTGAGAGTGCGCCCACCTCCTGAGGCCTGGGGAGGTGATGCTGCTGCCCCAGCCCAAGCCAGCGGCGCCCCCTGCCGTCCGCGCTGAGTGGTGCACACGGGACCAGTGGAGCCAGCAGAGCAGGGGACGAGGTTCTGGTGGAGGCTGAAGCTCCTGGCGGTTGGAGGGAGGCAGACCTGGCAGGACTTGCAGGGCCACGTGGGAGAGGTAAGAGCATCCTGGCCGCCCCTCCTCTCTCCCCCCTCCCCTAACCCCACCCCCCAGCCCACCCCCTGCATCAGGTGGGCCCTCCTGGGAGACAGGAGCCCCGCTGGGCCCCAGCTGGCGGGAGGGGTGAGCTGCGGGCTGGGCGGGAGCGCCGAGGAGGAGGGAGCTGCGGGCAGCGCCCTGCCACCCGAGGAGGGGGATGCTGCCACAGCAGCCTGAGCTGGCAGGGGTCCTACCGGCCTCCGCGGACTGGACAGCAGCTGTGGCTCACACTCCGCTCACGGTGGCCTGGCGGGGGGGGGGGGGTGCTGTGCGCTCAGGCTGTGCCTCTGAGGGCGGCCCCAAGCCCACGGGTCCCCTCACACCCCCCGGGGGGCGCTGTGTGCTTCAGGCTGTGCTCATGTGAACACTGGCTTCCTTGTTTTTAGCGAATGCGTCTACGGGCAGCAGGATCCGGAGGGGAGGAGTGTTAAGGGGGCTTTGACCTTGGCACTGCCACTCAAGGTCGTCCTTTCCCACCTCTCTCCGCTCTCAGGTCTCTGGCTCTTTCAGTCAGATCCCAGAAGACCAGGCGCTGGCATTCACACCCAGACTGAGGCCAACAGAGGCTCCACAGACTGCCCACTGCCGGACCTGGGCT